ACTGTCCATCATTAAACCTAAACGCGATTGAACTTGTGATATTTATGGAGGAATGCAAAGTGCTGGTATTCTCTCATGAAAATAAGGCCTACTTTTACAATATTGAAACACATCAAATCATTCATGAATTGGAATATCCAGTACTTACTGAATTCAGAGTTCATTCCAAATATCGAGATTTAGTCCTTATACATCCAAGATATGAAAAAGAAGCATTCATATTCAAAGTGGAAACAAATCCACATGAAAAGAGCCAAACAGTTAAAAGGCTAATTAGTATTCCAGTTGAAGATTTCATTGTTAGAGCAAAATTTTGTGGAGATGAATCAATTGTTGTCTTGATGGGAAATTGTGCTTTGGTAGAATACGATTTAAGGTCTGGCAAATTATTAGGAATGTTTAGTTTTGCTGCAACATATGGAAATGTCATTACGTTTGTCAAGCACGCACCTAGTAAGAGACGATTTCTGTTGTATGGAGATGAGATGGGTTCTGTCTATATTTTAGAACTCTACAAATTCGAGTAACCAATGTTTTGTTAATACTTTATTTATAAACCGTATTACAGGAAGTGGACTCTTGGCCTTAGTTGAGAAATTTTTTCTCAATACTCAGACAAGAAAACATGGCTTTGGTATTTCATTAGTCTTTTGAAAATTCTCAATTAAAATAGTTAGTCTGAAAATGGAGCCCTTATCAGAGTCAGTTGGTGGTTTGGTGAGCAAATGAATTCGAATAAATTCCAAAATTTTAACAAATTTTGACTTGTAGGTTTGGTACATTTTGTAAGCAGCAATTCCAAGAAATGAATCCAAAATTTCAATAGTGAATAAGTGATGTTGCGAGTTTAGTATGGCAGCAATCCATTCCCAACCCTTATCGATACCATATTGATGACCTGGTGGATTGTGCTGAATGATCATGGCATAGACAGTAATGATATCGTTCATTCTGTTCATGAATTGTATTCGATTCTCCAATTTCCCATCCACTTCCTTGTATCCAATTTTTTTGAAATCAGTAATTTGACTGTTAGATCCAATTTCTGAATTAATTGGCATAGTAAACCCAGAATTGAAATGTATATATCCTATTGCACTATCCAATATTGCTGGGAAATTGTTAGTCAATTCACAGGTGACCTGAATATAAGGCAGCACCTTTTTAAGGTCACTTGTTTGACTTGCTGCCTGATCCACTGCTGTTTTTGCATAAAAGTACAAGTAGTTAGATAGTGTATTCGAATCTGTGTTTTTCATGATATGATCAAGTTCTGCTACAATTTCACTTTGGTTAGTTGCTGATATTCTGTTAATTGCCTTATTAATATGTTTCTTTGTAATATCCATTTTAGTTTCTCGATATAATAGTGACCATAGGTTCTTGCTAAACATGGCTCTTAATGTTGTATTGAAATGTTTCAAATGGTCTCGGAGTCCAACACTTGGATTAATGTCATCCTCAATATCCAGAATGGTTTCAGTAGCAGTAGGAATAGTTTGATAGTCTTTTTCCTCTTTAACGGATTTTCTCTCTTCCTTCACTTCCTCTTTTCCAATATTCTTGATAGTTTCTTCAACAGTATGTGATTTTTGATTTGAGTTTCGTTTCTTGGCTTGATGATCAACAATGTTCTCCTCAGATTTAATTTCATCCTCTGAGTCATATTCTTCTAAAAGTCCATATCGTCCAGAACATTCCATTCCCTTCCGCAAAGAATGATCAATACT